CAGAGAAAAAGAGGAAGACCTCCAGCGAGATGGATTAGCAAAGTGGCAGCATCAATGGGTTCAAGCGTGACAACAATTGTGAGGTTCTCCCAGGATCAGGAAGTGTTTCGTTTTGCTGTGCATAAGGTCTCTATGAGTTGGTACCAACTCGATGGCACCTAACAACAATAACATGTAATAAAAAATTTACAAGGACAATACATCAAACTTCAAGCATATGTGAGGTCCTATAAATGTCATTTGACTTAATGTATCTCAGTGTTTGTATTTATAAAATAGGAATAATGATACAAACAGATTTTTCTCATGGGAATTTAAGATCAAACACAACTCTTTCTATAATTACTACTACCTTTCATTGAAAAGATCATAATGGGTTACCCATTGGGCTGCTAACTGCAAGGTCAGCAGTTCAAATCTATTAGCAAATTTCTGCTCCCAAGAAGATTTATAGTTTCAGAAACCCTAGACAGGGTCACTATGAATTGGAATTAACTTAATGGCACATCACCACTACCTTTCATTGATTGCACTAGCTTTGTTTGTAAAAAATGTATGAACACATTCAATAGAAAGTCCATTTTTAGAACCTCATTTGAAATTGATTCTGTAATCCTCATTTCCACTTCATTATGTTTTTCTTTTCTAATTGTGGGAGTCAAAAATAAAACACCAACTAATGTACACTTTCTTTATCAATTCCCATCATTCCAAAGAATGATACGCACAGTGATGGAGTGACAGAGGAATGATCCCTCCTCTGCCACTTGGTTATTGAGAAGGTTCCAGCTTTGTAATTCAGCTTCCAAAGTTATGCTCACTGTCACTGATTCATTCAAGTGGCTCAGTAAGACACAGGCCTTCTCGGGGATTCCAGAGTAGAGGTGTGCCGGGACCAGCACCACATATTGCCTGCAGAGAGAAGGGGATTCTGGCTAAATCATGGAGGATAGTACAAGACACTATTATTATGCCGTTTCCTAGAAAATCTTTGCTACTGTCACCAAATATAAAGAGATGGTAATAAGTAAAGCCAACATTCAGCAGGATTACAGAGGAGTGTATTCTTTAAAAGCCAGCCCATAAGACCTCAAGAATTTAGTAAAGGTCCCCAAATTAAACATCAGTATGCTTTTCTTATGTTGTGGAAATTATCATCTTCATAATATTACAAAGCTTATTCATAGCCACGGGCAACCAATTTGTAAATTATGATATGTTTTGGATAAAAATGATTTACAAATTCTGAATAGCAACAATAAAATGTGGATTAATCCATTAATATTCATCATTGAAAGCAGTAAGAACCTGTCTGTATGTGGTCTTGGAATACACATGGATGATATCATGAATCTCTGTGGTCCAGGAAACACTAAAGATACATTTGATACATGGGAAGTGGTTCAATGGCTTTTCACTGCTGTTTCAGAAGCAACTCTAACTCCTTTCTTTATCTCTTTTTGGTGATAGGGTTGAACTAGACATTTTTCCATATAAGCCCAGATCAAACTGTTTTTGAGCAAATAACTTGTGCTCAACTACTAAGCTAAGGAATCCTGGTTAATGTTCCAGACTGCAAACTGAACTGCAAGGTCTGCGGTTCAAGCTCACCAGCTGCTCCTTGAAAAACCTATATAGGGTCACTATGGGTCAGAATTGACTCAACAGCACTTAATAACAACAACAACTAAGCTAACGGCTGGCAGTTCAAATCTACTCCGCAGTACCATGGAAGAAACGTCAGGCAATCTTACTTCTATAAAGATTATATCCAAGGCAACCCTGGGAAACAGTTCTTCTCTGTACCATATGATGTCTCATGAGTCGGAAATGACTTGACAACAGTAAAAAATGTCTTTTTTCATTCTCTTCTGTTACTGTTTGCCCTTAAGCAGTTTCTGTGGAGTAGATTCTGTCTCACAGAAACCCAATAGGACAGAGTAGAACTGCCCCATTGGCTTTCCAAGGATGTAAATCTTTAAGAAAGCAGATTTTTATGTATCTTTTTTTTTCCGAGGAGCAGCTGGTGGATTTGAACTGCTGACCTTTGTTTTAGAGACCAAGAGCTTTAATCACTGCAATATCAGGACTCCTGCCTTTAACATCTTGGTCTCTTTCTCTCTCACTGCCCCCAAGTCTATTCTGACTCATAGTGACCCTGTATAGGATTTCTGAGTCTATAAATCTTTATGGGAGCAGATAGCCTCATCTTTCTCCTGTGGAGTGGCTGGCAGTTTTGAACTGCCAACGTTTAGGTTAGCAATTGAGACCTTAACTTATAATCACTCAAATATACTGCATTTTGGATGCTGTATTTTTGCATGTGGCTTTCTCTCTAAAGTGTCTTTAACTAGAACACTTCTCTTTGTTTCTTAATCTTGTTCAAAACCAACTTTCTCTATATAGACTTTGGTGATGCTCATGTCTTTGTTTCAGGTACCAAGAAGAATTATTAATTTATTTTTGTGTGAATAATCTCACAGGACCCTGCTATGTCTGCTTTGGTTTTCAGGTTTCAGGTCACTCCCTGTGTATTCCGTCTATCCTTTACTACATGGTGAGATATTGAGGGCAGGATTTGCATTTTGTTAATCTACAAATTGTCAAGAGATTGCTAAAAAACACTGCGCTGCAAAGTTGGTTTGAACCACAAGGCTGGAGGTTCAAACTCACCAGCCACTCCTTGGAAACCCTGTACAGGGTCTCTATGAATTGGAACTGACTCAATGGCACTTAACAACAACAACAACAACAAAGGAAAGAGTGAAGCAGCACATGACACTGACCTTGTTTTCATGGCATGCATTCATATTGCACCTTAATGTAAAGAAAAAAAAAATCCTCACCCTGTACCAATAAATAACATCACAATAAGTAGAGAAAAGAATAATGTTGCCAAAGACTTCATTTTACTTGTATCAACCATTAACACTCATGGAAACAGCAGTCAAAAAAATCAAACCATGTATTGCATTAGGCAAATCTGCTGCATAAGACATCTTTAAAAGGTTGAAAAGCAAAGATGTCAATTTGAGGACTAAGATGCACCTAACCCAAGTCATGGTATTTTCAATAACCTCATATGCATATGAAAGTTGGGTGGTGAATAAGGAAGACCATAGAAAAATTGATGCTTTTGAGTTATGGTGTTGGAGGAGAATATTGAATGTGTATGGGCTGCCAAAAGAATCAACAGATCTGTGTTGGAAGAAGTGCAGCCAGAGTGATCCTTGGAGGCCAGGATGGCCAAACGTCATCTCTCATAATTTGGACATATTGTCAGGAGAGAACAGTTCCTGGAGAAGGATATCATGCTTTGGAAAATGAAGGTTTGGAGAAACAGAGAAAGTTCCTCAATGAGATGGATTGGCACAGTCACAACAGTGATGAACTCAAATATAACAATGATTGTGAGGTTGGCCCAGGACTGCCAGTATTTCGTTGTGTTGTGCATAGGGTCTCTATGAGTAGGTACCAACTTGATGGCACTTAACAACAACAAATCACTTTATAATGTCCATAGATATTGCAGCCCATTTTATGAGCCAGCAGACAATGCATCCCCTTATTAATATGCATTCTGCATTCTTACTTGGTGAATATTTCACAGATGTTACTATCTAATGTGTGAGTTTCCTAGGATTTGAGTCACCCTACAAGGACCTGAATATCTACTTCCTAAAAATCAGCCATTGAAACCCCTATGGAGAATAGTTCTACTTGGGTACATACAGGGTCATCATGAGCAATGGATTTGGTTTTCTTTCAAAATGGCCATTTACAGACTATCCTAAGTCCTTTAGGTGACAGAAAAATCAGAAAATAAGCAAGAGGACAGTGATCAAGAAGCAGATACTACAATGGGAAATCATTCTCTGGAAATTTCACTTACGGTTTTACAGGATCTGCAGCATTTCTGGGAAGGAGCAGGAAAAGTAGAATCAAGACTGGCCCAGGCAGTTGGTTTTCCCTCATGGTGTGCAAAGGAATAGAAAAGAATGGGAATCTGTGCCCTTTATCCCTTGAACTCTGTTCTTGTCCAGATACACTAGTTTTTATCCTATCCAATAGTGAAAGTAAACTTCCAAACTTTTAGTTTTGTAACATATTAACCACTTCCAGTATTAAAAAATCAATCCCATATCATTTTCGTGACCATCAAAATTCTTTCATCTACTTTATCAAATTATCCAAATGCTTAAAGAATAGTACTTTGAGGCTACAGTTGCTAGGGTTATTAATTAGAATTTTAAGTATTTTTAAGTAAAAACAAAATATATTATATGGTTTGATTTTATTTATTAAGGGATACTAATGTAAAGGAGTTCTGGTGTGACACTATAGGATGAGCGAGCACTGGACCAGAAGATTGGTCTGAATCACAAGGTTGGCAGTTCACCAGCCATTCCTTGGAAACCCCATACAGGCTTTGCTATGAATGAAATCAACTCAATGGCACTTAATAAGAACAATTAATGTAAAGACAATATATACCAACTCTCTTCTTGTTAGTCCCAGCTGCATTACATATAATCATCAGGCTTCATTCTAAATGGTTTTTGAATGAAACAAAGTTATGAATTTATCACAAAATTTAAAACAATACAAGCTCAAGCCAATTTCTCCATTCTTTAAAGGCTTAAATTTTGTTGTTTTTCTCTATCCTTTAATTGATCTATTAAAAAGAGAGTGATTTTATTTTGAATATAGCAAACCATGTTATACAGAGAGGGGTTTCAAAAATTAATGGAAAAATAGAATTAAAAGCTAATGGAGGAGAGAAAGGAATAGCCAGAAATATCACCATAGAAAGCTTGTAAGTCTGTCTTCTGCCTATAACTGATTAGAATACCTAAAATGGGGCAACAACGTGACCAGTGAAGGAGGCTTCCTGTGAAGCCTCCGAATTACATAAGACTATAGGTGGAATCCTGAAATGCATCCAGAATCTTCTGAGGTGGGAAATTTCCACTTGAAAGGACAAGCAGACCAGCCTGAAGTGGCTAGAAGAACAGAAGATACTTCTTGAAAGAAAGACTGACAAGAAAAATACAAAACAGTATAGGCAGACCGACTGATTACTACAAGAACAAGTAAGTTGCTCACCCAGGAGACATCAAGGCAAGTGGTAGGGTTACCTCAGAGCAAACCCCCTTCCAAGACTAAGACCCAATGGGAATACACACTCTGATTGGTGACAACGTTTGGCAGTGATAAGGGGAAGTGAGGGAAAAACAGCAATGAAGATGCGAACTAAGCCCTACAATGTTCAATAGACTCCTGTGAACCCAGGTGGAGACCTAGTTGGCCAGTAGTGTGGCAAGACCTGGGGATTCTTTGGCCAAGAGTCACTGACATAGCCACAGAGGACTAGAGTGGAGAGTGAAGCATTCAGCTGATAAAAAGAGAGGGCATATGCATAAGAACACCCATACTTGCAGATAATACCCACTTGACCTGGCTTCAATGACTGGATGATCAGAGCTCAACTAGAATAAGAAAGAAGAGGAAAAAAAGAGTAATCTGGTATAATTTGATGAACTGGACCTATACCTATGGTTGCAATAGCTCAAAAGAGGGAACAGATCTTTACAGCAAGGATCATTTCCAGCCCCTCCATACACAGAGTAGACAGGGATGGGCAATTTGGACATTGGCTACCCAAAGTGGGGGAGGAGGTGTGTACAAAGGCAAGAAGTAACTGGCTTACAAGCTTTCAAGAGGAAGCCTAGATCCAGAGGGCATGGAGGAAGATAGACTCTATCGACACTGAGTAGTATCCAATCTGTCTAGGCGGGGCTGATGAAAGGAAATGCGGATAGGTCTTTTGAGATACAATAGTGAATAATTGTTATCAGGACTGATTGTGAGAGTTGGAAATGTAAAGGTAGTTTTTTTTTTTAGCAAGGAGGGGAGTGATTAACTTTGAAGTCTAGGAGCGGAGGTCCCTGGGACCATGAAGGTTGATGAGCGGAGATTGGGACCCTACCCAGAGAAGCAGTGATGCCTGAGATGGAGGCATCTGGGGACTTTAGACCCAGAGAGGGTCTCTATAAAGATAGATTCCTAATGAGCACAATTCAGTTTTCTGGAATGATTCTTCTTTGCATTATTACCAATGATTTGTCATGATCCACAAAGTCAAAAGCCTTTGCAGAATCAATAAAGCACAAGAAAACATGTTTCTAATATTCTCTGATTTCAGTAAAGATCCATTTGATGTCAGCAATAATATCCCTAGTTCCACATCCTTTTCTGAATCTGGCTTAAATTTCTGGCAGTTCTTTGTTGATGTATTGTTTTAGTAGTTTATAATCATTTTCAACAAAATTTTACTTGTATGTGATATTAATAATAGTGTTTGACAATTTCTGAGTTCTGTTGGGTCACTTCTTTTTCGAATGTGCACAAATATGCATCTCTTCCAATTGGTTGGCCAGGTAGTTGTCTTCCAAATTTCTTAGCATAGATGAGTGCATCCAGTGCTGCCTCAGTTTGCCAAAATATTTCACTGTGTATTTGATCAATTCCTGAAGCCTTTTTTTCTGCCAATTCCTTCAGCGCAGTTTGAACTTCTCCAATCAGTACCATTGGTTCTTGATCATATGCTATATATATATATATAATTGTTGTTTTTGTTAGGTACCATCTAGTCGGTACTGACTCACAGCGACCTTATGCACAACAGAATGAAACACTGCCATCCATCTTCATTCAATAATTTGCCCAGAGAAATGTTGAGAGTGTTCTTCCATTTTGGTGTCCTAATTCTAGGTCTTTGTACATTTTGTTATAACATTTGTCTTTTTTTTTTTTTAAATGTTTTATTGTGAATTATGTGATAGTTTACATGGGAGAACATTAGTTTTACCTTCATCCTATCATATATTGTTTCATTGCCATAGTTACAATCCCCTCCATGCATCATCAACCAAGCAAAGGGTATTCCCTGCAAGCTTGCCCCGTCCCCCCCCGGTCGTCAGCACACAGCCCCTCTCCCTCTCTAGGTCTAAAGTCCCCAGCTGCTCCATCTCTCCACATCATCATCTCTGCCTCCATCTCTGGCGTCACTGCTTCTCCGGGTAGGGTCCCACTCTCCTCTCTTCTCCCTTCATTGTCCTAGAAACCTCTACTCCTAGACTGCAAAGTTAATTATTCCCCTCCTTGCTAAAAAAAGTCTACCTTTACATTTCCAACCCTCATAATCAGTCCTGATAACAATTATTCACTATTGTATCAAAAGAGACCCGTCTGCATTTCATTGCATCAGCCCCGCCTAGACAGATTGGATACTACTCAGTGTAGAGTCTACCTTCCTCCATGCCCTCTGGATCTAGGCTCCCTCTTGAAAGCTTATAAGCCAGTCACTTCTTGCCTTTGTAATCCCCCCCCCCACACACACACACTTTGGGTGGCCAATGTCCAAGTTGCCCATCCCTGTCTACTCTGTGTATGGAGGGGGTGGGAATGGTCCTTGCTGTAAAGATCTGTTCCCTCTTTTGAGCTACTGCATCCATAGGTGTAGGTCAAGTTCATCAAATTGTACCAGATTACTCTTTTTTTCCTCTACTTTCTTCTTTTAGTTGAGCTCTGATCATCTAGTCTTTGAAACCAGGTCAAGTGGGTATTATCTGCAAGTATGGGTGTTCTTGTGCATATGCCCTCTCTTCTTATCAGCTTTACTCTGTGGCTATGTCAGTGACTCTGGGCCCAAGAGTCCCCAGGTCTTGCCATACTGCTGGCCAACCAGGTCTCCACCCGGGTTCCCAGGAGTCTATAGAATGTTGTAGGACTTAGCTCGTAGTTTCACTGCTGTTTTTCCCTCACTTTCCCTTATCGGTGACAAAAGTTGTCCACAGTCAGAGCATGTATTCCCATTGAGTCTTAGTCTTGGAAGGGGGCCTTTGTTTTCTTGAGCTTACCGCTTGTCTGTCAGTTTGTTGTACTTTGGTGGCTTGTGTGTTGTGATGCTGAAAGGTATACCACGGGTATTTAAATATCTGCAGGGTCACACACAGTGGACAGGTTTCAGATGAGCTTCCAGACAAAGACACACTAGAAAGAAGTAGAGACAGACTACTTCTGAATATTCAGTAACTGAAAACCTTATGAATGGCAGTGAAACACTGTCAGATATAGTGCTGGGAAATGAACCCTTCACCTTAGAAAGCACTGAAAATGTGACTGGGGAAGAGCTGCCTCCTCAAAGTAGAGCTGACCTCGATGACTCAAATAAAGTCAAGTCCTTGGAACCTTCATTTGCTGATGATGGTGCACAACTCAAAATGAAGAGAAACAGCTCTAAACATCCAGTAATAATCAGAATATGGAATGTACGAAGTGTGAATCTAGGAAAATTGGAAATTGTAAAACGAAATGGACTGCATAAACATTGCTATCCTAGGCATTAGTGAGCTGAAATGCACTGGTATTGGACATTTATAATCTAACAAGCATGTGGTTTGCTATGTCAGGAATGACAAATTGAAGAGAAATGATGTCACATTCATCATCAAAAAGAACATATCAAGATCTGTGATGAAATACAATGTTGTCTGTGATAGGATAAAATCCATATGCCTAAAAGGAAGACAAGTTAATATCACATATTCTGGCACTATATTTGACAATGTTCTGTTGCTAATTCATTATTACTTCATCTTCAGACACTATATCTGTCAATGTTCCACTGCTATTTCTAAAGTTTTCAGTGACTAAACATTCAGAAGTTGTCTGATTGTTCTTAATCTGTCTTAGTCTAGAAGCTCCACTGAAACTTGCCAATCATGGGTAACACTACTGGTATCTCATATACTGATGCCATAGTTTCCAGCATCACAGTAACATACAAACTACCACAGCATTGTATGACACTGTGGGATAAAGCACTGGACCACAAGGTCAAAAAAACTACAAGGTCCCCTTTTCAAACTCACCAGCTGCTCCTTAGAAACCCCATACAGGATCTCTTTGAG